ACACAGGAACAGAAACAGCAGTGAAGTGTAGAATAATAAGAAAAGTTTTGTTTTTTTCCTACTTTTTTTAGATGGAACAGATTTAGATGGAAAATACACCGGCTACCCACCAGAGACTGTCCCAGTTGTGATCGGAAGTGTGCTTATTTTATTAGCCATTTTAGCTGTAGTGGTTTTTCTGGTGATGAATTATGATGGTGAGTGTTGCAAAGGGCTCTTTATTCACTTCACCCTTCTTAAGGACTGTGGACTGTTGCTGCCCCCTTGTGGAAAGACTGAGTATGTTTAGAATGTTCCAGAAAGTTTACCATGCGTGTCAGTCGGTAATAGTCTGCAGAGCATGGAGCACATGAGAAACGTTCTCCTTTTCTAGCGGTGTTATTTAATTGTGTGCGTGCATCTAAATGTAAGTTTCTTTGTTCCTTAATCATATTTATCATGTTGTTTAAGGGTTATCACTGTGAGATGTTTAGTTTAATTATTTAATGATTAACATCTGTATATAGTTTATTCTTATTGTTTACATCAAGCGGAAGCATATTTGCCTTTCATTGAGTTTAGTTTAAGGTTATTAAACGATTTAACGAGGTTGCCGTGTAGGCTAAGAAATGCATAGTCATGCTAACGCACGTGATATACTGTGTGACGTCAGTATTGCAAGCGGTCGTAGGTTCGATCCCCGGTCGGACCAAAGTTGAGAAACTGCTATAATAAGCTATATAAAGTGAAGAATAGTACTTCTAAATATTATCTAATGTCTTTCTACCTATTGTTACTGCTCATTTATTTATTGTTTAAACTAATGTTTACCAAATGTTTATTGTATTTGTATACTGTGGTTGAATGTTAATTATTATTCTTTGTTTCTACTTGTCTGTAGAACCACACACACACACCCTCACCCCAACTATATGTCTGCTTATACTAATGGAAATAAACCCAAGTGAGACAATAAGCATCTTCGTCGCGTTTTGATCAGACGTACCACAGTGATTAATTCAACTTAACCACACCATCAGCTACAGTACATTGGTCCTTCGAGCCGGAGTCAGTAATTGCTGTGGATTTAGAAGATGTTTCCAGAACAGAGGAATAGAGAAGGACAAAGGAGTGATATGCGTCCTAAACGCCGAATACAACCTCCAGCCTGGTTAGAGGATTATGAGGTTTCTCTTCCTCAATATAACCAACAATCTCCAGCTGTTCATACATTGCCTCATCGAGAACCACAGGAGCCTTACATTGAAAGGGTAGCCGAGAAGACCCCTCTCATTTATCAGCCACAAAGCGATTATGCTTTAAGGGCAGACCAGAGATTCATTAACCACTCATTACATATGGGCCCAAGATATGAGAGCACACCTGTATCTCAGCCAGTCACACAGGAAGATGTATCGGAGATTTTGAGAACAGTTCAGGAGCTTAGACGAGAAAATCAACAGCTTCAGTTTGTCATGCAAGATATGCAACAGAAAATTAGCTTAAATAGAGCACCTCCCCTTCAACAAAGAGCAGAGCCCTTGCCATATGACAGAACCCAGTCAAAGGCAAGTCCAGCCCCATTACATGATAATGATGAATGGCCACTACCACCTCCACCTGTAGTAGATGATGGGTTTCTCCCTTTGGCTGTGGATATACCACCCCCACTTCCGAGACACATGTCTAATTTTGTGGATGAGTTAACATCTCGACTCAGGAACTTAAAAACAAAAGATCATCTTCTCTCATGCCCATCAACCCCAGAGTACTGTGAATCTGAGAGTTTCTCCATGGCATTACCTCCACAACAAAGGACACTTGAATACCCACTAAGTACCCTCAAACAGCACCTATCAGCAGTAAGCCATTCTGTATGGACCCTGAACAGCACCCTTATTACCCTCAACAAGAAAGGATGAACAGAGGCCCAAAGCCCACAATCCCTGACTTTACTAAAGGAGACCCACGGGAATTTGCACGACTGAAAGTCTCATTGGACAATCTTTTACCCGAGGATTCTACTGAAAGGTTTAAATATCAAATACTTCTAGAACACTTGAAGTTTGAGGATGCTCTTTTCATTGCAGACTCCTACATCAATTCCAGTAGACCGTATTCAGATACCATGGCCTCTCTCGCAGAACAATATGGGCAGCCCCACCAGCTAGCTTTGAGGCGAATTGCTGACTTAATGGAAGATCCTTCCATACGTAGTCAAGATGCTAGTGGATTCAAGAGGTTTGCATTGAAAGTAAGAGCTCTAGTAGGCATGTTGAACCAATTGGGAGATAGTGGCAGAGTTGAGCTTCAGTGTGGCTCACATGTAACACGGCTGTTGTCCAAGTTGCCCAAGTTGCCCCATGACTTACGAGCAGATTTCAAACGGTATGTGTACCCCCTAAATGTTCGCATCCCCACTCTGTTAAACTTTGCAGACTGGCTTGAATATGAGCTGAAAATACAGGCTAGTGGATTTGAGTTTCTTGGTGGAGACCGAAGGGAACGTCCTGACCAGAGGAGAGACAGGAGTAAAGACTTTAAGTCCACAAAGACAGCAGCTGTATTTCATAGCACAGACCCTGCTTTAAATACTATAGCTCCAGGAGAGTCCAGTTTGAGTGCTGCTAAAACTCAGGACAAACCAAGAATATTTTGCCCCTACTGCACAAATACCCAGCATTATCTGAATCAGTGTCAAAATTTTAGCCAGCTCACCAAAGAACAAAAAACAAACTGGGTGAAAACCAATAAGAGATGCTGGCGTTGTGGTCGAGCTCATCAGGCAGCACAGTGCAATTTAAAGACAAGCTGTAAGGTCTGTAAAGGCAAACATCTAGATGCACTCCATGAGCTGAATGAAAGGCCAGTTTCTGAGAACACTTGTCTTGTCAACAACGCCAATGAAGTTCTATACCTGGACAGACCATTAGGCTGCAGTCAAGTACTGCTAAAGGTTACAAAGGTAATTCTTCGGAATGGGGAACATACCCTTGAGACATATGCCATTTTGGATGATGGCTCAGAACGCACAATCCTTCTGCAAGCGGCCGCCCAGGAACTGAAGTTACAAGGCAAACCAGAAAACCTTGCTCTGAGAACTATCAGACAGGACATGAAAATCATACATGGTACTACAGTCTCCTTTACCATCTCCCCTGCCTGCCAGCCTCACAAAGTCTTTAAGATACATAGAGCATTTACTGCAGACCATTTGGGGCTCGCTGAACACACATGCCCAGCTACCACCTTACAGCATAAATACAGACACCTCAGGGGACTGCCAATCCCATCCCTTAACAGTGTTCAGCCCCTCCTTCTAATTGGTTCTGACTACCCCTACCTAATCACTCCCATCGAGCCTGTACGCCTAGGGCCTCCTGGCGGACCCGCAGCAGTGAAAACGCGACTAGGCTGGACAGTCCAGGGGCCTACTAAGCTTGTGCGGCATCAGCTTTTGACCCAGCAGTGTCTCAATATATCCATCTGTAGCCCTTCTAATGAGCTGTTCAGACACATTGAGAAACTCTGGCAACTAGATGTACTGCCCTACAGAAGCGAGAAACTTGCAACCAGATCTAAGCAAGATCAAGAAGCTGTCGACCTGTTTGAGGCAAAGACAACTAGAATTGATGTCAATGGGACACAACGATATGCCACACCTCTCTTAAGGGTTAAGGACATGCCAAAATTACAAGCTACTAAACAAGCTGTAATGCCGAATCTGCGCAGCACCGAAGCCCGCCTAGCCAAAGATCCAATAAAGTCAGAGGCATATAGAGCTGAAATTCAAAGACTGAAAGAAGCAGGTTATGTGGTTGAAGTACCCGACCAGAAACTAACGAAGAAAGAGGAAGAATCATGGTTCATTCCCCACCATATGGTGAGCCATAATGCCAAAAACAGAGTTATATTCAACTGCTCATTCTCATATCAGGGTAAGAACCTGAACAACCTGCTGTTGCCGGGACGAGCTCTGGGGTCCTCATTACTTGGAGTGTTGCTGCGCTTCAGGGAGCATGCTGTAGCCTTTAGTAGTGATATAAAGGGGATGTTTCATCAAGTAAGATTACTGCCCGAGGATAAGCCCCTACTCAGGTTCTTATGGCGTGACCTAAAGAAGGAAGAGCCCCCCAGAGTCTATGAGTGGCAAGTGCTCCCATTCGGGACTACCTGCAGTCCGTGTTGTGCCACATACGCACTACAAAGGCACATTGTTGACCACAGTCAGCAAGGAGACAATGTCCGCCACTCACTGGAAAGGTGTTTTTACGTAGATAATTGGCTACAGAGTGTTGCAACACCTGACGAAGCTAAAGAGCTGGTAGACACAGGGATGAATCTGTTGGCTGAAGGAGGATTTGAATTGCGTCAGTGGGCATGCAATTTTCCGAATGTCATTGAACATCTGTCAAAGGAAGCCAGATCAGAAAGCAGTGAACGCTGGCTTAACCAAACTGAATCCGATCCTCAAGAACTCGCTTTAGGATTACGATGGATGTGCCAGTCTGATACTCTCGGATACCAAACCCGCCTTTACAACTGTTCCTCCCCCACAATGAGAAACATATACAAGGTAGTAGCAAGCCAGTATGACCCTCTTGGATTCCTTGTCCCCTACATCACCCGAGCCAAGATCCTTATACAGAGTCTTTGGGCTAAGCAACGAGAATGGGATGACCCCCTACCAATGGGATGACCCCCTACCAACCTGCCAACTGAAATTCTCAAAACATGGCATGATTGGCAAGGGGAACTTCAGCATCTTTCCCAACTGACACTGCCACGCTGCTATGTGAGTTCCCAGTTGGATTCCCTGAACTGTAAGCGACAAGTGCATTGCTTCAGTGATGCCTCTGAGCGGGCATACGGATCTGTAGCATACTTGCGCTCAGAGGATCTAAAGGGAAATGTTGAGGTAGCGTTCCTCACAGCCAGGTCAAGAGTAGCCCCTAAACGCCAGTTATCTGTGCCTCGACTGGAACTTTGTGCAGCTCTCACAGGTGCCTTGGGTGAATTGGCTTCACTATTAACTAAAGAGCTCACTCTACCCATCGAATCCTTTGTACTCTGGACTGATTCTACCACTGTCCTAACATGGCTTCAGTCAGAATCCTGCCGTTACAAAGTATTTGTAGGCACCAGAATTGCCGAAATACAGGAACTTACAAGTGCAAATGCTTGGCGTTACGTGGAATCCAACAATAATCCAGCTGATTATATAACTCATGGGAAAACTCTGAAGGAGCTAGCTACAGACAAAACCTGGAGACAAGGACCGGAATATCTGTGGAACTCCCCTTGCTACTGGCCTGTTATCCCCGACATAAATGCAAAGGAAAATCCTGTCGAATTAAAGAAGCCCACCTTCTGTAGTCACGTAACAGTCGATGTACAGCCATTGCCTGATCCGCAACAGTTTAGCTGCTTTACAGCCTTAGTTGAAGCGACAGCACTACTTCTGCACGGGGCGGCAGGTAAAGATGGAGATCTTTCAGCCGTGGATTATCAGTCAGCAGAAAGAAATATCTTACGAAAGGTTCAAATTGACTGCTTCCCTGATGACATCAATGCCCTAGTCGCCGGTAAACCAGTACCATCCTCTAGCCGCCTCATAACTTTAGCACCTGAATATGACAGCACAGTTGGGCTCATCCGAGTGGGTGGGAGACTACGCCGCAGTGTTCAATTAGATGCAGATGCTGTTCACCCAATTGTTCTTGACCCATCTCACAAAATTACCCAACTTCTCATTCAGAACATAGACTAAGAGCTTCATCACCCTGGGGCGGAACGGGTCTTCGCAGAAATCCGCCGTAAATATTGGATTTTACGCGGCAGAGAAGCAGTTAAACGGCAACAACACTTATGCCCTGATTGTTAAAGGTGGCGAGCTAAACCAACAGTGCCTCAGATGGCAGATCTCCCACAAGCCAGACTTCAGATTTTCAAACCACCTTTCTTCTCTACAGGAATGGACTGTTTTGGCCCTTTTACTGTTAAACTAGGCAGAAGAAGTGAAAAACGTTGGGGCATCTTGTTCAAATGTCTGACAACCCGTGCTGTTCACATCGACCTACTAAGTAGTCTTGATACTGATTCATTTCTGATGTCACTAAGGCGCTTCATATCCCGACGAGGAAAACCTTCAGAGCTATTATCAGATCAAGGCACAAACTTTAAAGGAGGAGAAAGGGAGCTCCAACAGTCATTCACATCAATGTGTCCCACACTGCAGAAAGAGCTTGCTAAACAACAAATTAAATTTCGATTCAACCCTCTCGGTAGTCCCCATTTTGGAGGAGTATGGGAACGCGAGATTAGATCGGTCAAGTCTGCCCTGTATGCCACTGTATAAAGACAAAGCATGACTGAAGAAGTCTTGAACACTGTTCTCACTGAAATAGAAGGAATACTGAATTCAAAACCTCTGGGTTATGTGTCCACGGACATTGCTGACCCCAACCCGGTGACTCCAAACATTCTTCTGATGGGGCGGCTAGACCCTTCACTCCCGCAAACAGTTTACCATGAAACAGAGCTCTTAAGCCGCCGAAGGTGGAGACACTCGCAAGTGCTCGCGAATTAATTGTGGATGCACTTCACAAAGCACTACCTACCCAGCCTACAAATCCGTGGAAAATGGCAGAGAGAAAGAGACCAATTGCAGCCAGGTATAATTGTCATGATTGTGGACCCACAGTTACCTAGAGCCCTCTGGCCTGTAGGCAAGATTATTAATGTTTTCCCCAGTGCGGATGGACGAATCAGAACTGCTGAGGTCAGAATTATGGACAGAACATATGTCAGACCTGTAGCATGCCTCATTAAGCTACCAGCACTCCCAGACATGGACACAGTTTCGAGCCCTTCTGAATAAGCAAATTTGACTGTGCAAATTTGGGGGCGGGTGTTGCAAAGGGCTCTTTATTCACCCTTCTTAAGGACTGTGGACTGTTGCTGCCCCCTTGTGGAAAGACTGAGTATGTTTAGAATGTTCCAGAAAGTTTACCATGCGTGTGTCAGTCGGTAATAGTCTGCAGAGCATGGAGCACATGAGAAACGTCCTCCTTTTCTAGCGGTGTTATTAATTGTGTGCGTGCATCTAAATGTAAGTTTCTTTGTTCCTTAATCATATTTATCATGTTGTTTAAGGGTTATCACCGTGAGATGTTTAGTTTAATTATTTAATGATTAACATCTGTATATAGTTTATTCTTATTGTTTACATCAAGCGGAAGCATATTTGCCTTTCATTGAGTTTAGTTTAAGGTTATTAAACGATTTAACGAGGTTGCCGTGTAGGCTAAGAAATGCATAGTCATGCTAACGCACGTGATATACTGTGTGACGTCAGTATTGCAAGCGGTCGTGGGTTCGATCCCTGGTCGGACCAAAGTTGAGAAACTGCTATAATAAGCTATATAAAGTGAAGAATAGTACTTCTAAATATTATCTGATGTCTTTCTACCTATTGTTACTGCTCATTTATTTATTGTTTAAACTAATGTTTACCAAATGTTTATTGTATTTGTATACTGTGGTTGAATGTTAATTATTATTCTTTGTTTCTACTTGTCTGTAGAACCACACACACACACCCTCACCCCAACTATATGTCTGCTTATACTAATGGAAATAAACCCAAGTGAGACAATAAGCATCTTCGTCGCGTTTTGATCAGACGTACCACAGTGATTAATTCAACTTAACCACACCATCAGCTACAGTACAGTGAGTATTTCATGATCTGTGATATCTTGATTATGTGTGTTATATATCATCTTCTATGTCCAGAAATCTTGTCTGATAGGAATCAATGGATGATTTTGGCCCAAAACTCCAAAAAAATTTATTCAAAAATGATTTTTTTTTTATTTTATTAAAAAGTAATAAGCACACTCTGAACATTAATTTTGACATAACATATTACTCACGCTGGATAATGTTTTTTTTTTATTTCACTAAAGTTATTTGAAACATTAAAGTAAACAAACTTATTTTGAATGGAATATGCTGTTTACAGGATGTCAGTGTCATGTTAATTCAAAAAACATTTGACCTGTTACACAAATTCTAGCAATTAATCTTAAAGTATTTAATATTTTATTAGAGTAATCGGTGTCTTAAACTGAATGTCTTTATAATTAATATTTTGCAACAAAATATACAATAATAGATATTTAAGTAATGAATGAATTGCTGAAAAGTGCAAATTAGGAAATGTCTTGGAGAATAAATAAACGGCTATTTTTTATGTGTTGATATTATTTTGTTGATGGTCATGCCTTGTTTTTGAAATTTCTATAGAGTTGGATTCTGCACTCTGGACATAAATAAAGTATTTTTTGGAAGATATTAAATATTGACTTGCTTTAAAGGTGCAGTAAGTTTGAAACACAGTGGTTGAAATAGATATTGCATATAGAGCCAGATCAGTCTCAAAAATAATACATTTGCATTCATAAATGCACAGTTCATAAATCCACAACTCCAATTCATAAATTTAAAACAAAATTCATCAATTCAAAAGCAAAACTATATCCCAAATGCACACACATATGCATCTTACCAGAATATATTTAAAATGTTTACACGGTTTTGTATATACAGTAGGAAGTTCTTGGATTACTTTCCTCATGCATTTATGAATTATGCTAGATGTGATCATGAACCACTGAATGTGCATTTAAAACAAAATAACCCCTCATAATCTGTGGTAAAACTGTCACATTGCACAGCATAGAGCCAATGAATTTGCAGTGACCAGCAGACTTGCAGAGTAATGTTATTTCTCAGTAATATTGAGTTCCATGATCTTATGTCATTCGCGAACGGCTGGATTTAATGCATTCAGTAGCAAATCTTACTTAACGAATCACTGATTAAATAAATGACTCATTTAGTAATACATTGTCCCCCAAGGCAAACCAGGGTGCTGAAATACAATTGGCTAAACTGGCATTGGACGGGTTAAAAGACCAAAACAAAGCGAGCGTTCCGGCACAGAAAACACACGTTCACAGCAGAATATCTGACTTCAACATTGTTTTTCAGATAAACAAGAATGTTCACTGAGCATGTTTCTGAAATATCTGCAGACATATAATGCTGTTTTAAAGCTTTAGAAGAGTCACAAATACATACAGCACCTTTAACTTATTTTTACATTTAGAGCACAAAGTTATTTACAAAGGACTTCATATCACGACAGGCTGCTCATTTAACCCTTAACGAGTTCACCACTCATCATTTGTTAGTTTTCAGACACTAAAAAATATACATCGGGACTACTTATGGATGCAGCTGCAACCCAACACTGGGAAACACCCACACACTCTTGCATTCACACATGCAAATTTGTCCATCATTCCGTATGTGCAATCTCTTCTATAGTGGGTAGTACACACCCCACAACAGAGCTTGCCTTTTTATAAGCTTATTTGCTTTGTTTTCCTTCTCCAGCTGTCTGCCTCCTCAGAGAGTTACAGAAAACAGAATCACAGAAGACGCTACAGAATCAGTCTTCAACGACAGGTACGTTTACGATTTTTGATGACATCAATTCGACTAAAGTTTGGAATTGAGACATGTTTAGTATGACAATATTAGTGGCATTATTGAAGTGCAGTACAGACATGTGAACACCACAAACTATTACCATCTCGTAGAACATTTCGCTGCATTTGGCGACAGGATATGCCATACACATGCGGCTGTTTGACACTATTCCCTGCACCTACAGAGTCCGTGAAGTCGGTCAAGTTTTTTCTTACCATTTGGTGTTTAGTATGAAAACAACACTCTTTCAGCAGTTCATAGTTGCATCCAATATCTCGTTTGTCACGGGGGGCATGCATGAAATGCTCCCGAAGTGAAACTGCAGTTAAAGTCGACAAATTAAAAATGAAATAACGCAGTGACGACATCAAATTATGAGCTATAATATGTCATCGGAATCATAAAAAAGAACATTCAGAAGCAACTCATGTAAACACCTCAATCATATTAATGTCTTATTCAGATTAGGGCAAATCAGTCCATTTCTGATATAACCGTAGTTGGTGTCTGACACCAGTACAGTACAAGCGGTTACAAGCAGTGGTGTAAAGTAACTAGTTACAAATACTCAAGTTACTGTAATCGAGTAGTTTTTCTCAAGAATTGCAATTTACCAAGTAGTTTTATAAATGTGTACTTTTACTCTCCTTTGAGTACGTTTTTACTGCAGTATCAGTATTTTTACTCCACTACTGTCCTTTATCCTGCAGTCACTACTGTATTTATTGTCTATGGTAATTAGACAAATCAGTCCTTTAATTCCTGTCCAATCAAATCACACATAGAAGGTAAATCACATTATGATGAACTACCTCAAGACATGGGCGGGGCTTGAGTTCCTCATCAACGTCACGCTGGCATGACTTGAGACTTGTTACCGTGACGATTCATTCAAACTACTCTTAGTCAACTCTTTTATAGATGGATCAACAGTTTGAAACACAGTGCACTTTCAGATTTAAGCCTTAGCTGGATATTTCACTTTACACTTTACACTATATTTACAGAGCTGTGTTACACACTGCATGAAGATCATTTTCAAAAACCCTTAATAGAGGCTTTTTTAATCTGTTATTATTTTTTTTTTTTTACAGAACAGGACAGCAGCAGCACAGACACCACTGGTAAACATATTATTCATTTTATTAAAATATATTCCATGTCATTTAAATACTGCATCACTAAAGGCATAATTAGCTCTGCTTAACAAGCATGCTGCTTTTTCTGCATTAAAAATGTTTGGTGGCTAAACTGTGGATGCCTCTTTATTTTTTGACAGAGTGTACCTCAATATTGCTGGGATTTATTGCTGACCATCTGAATAAAGAATTAACGGAAGGAGAGAATTGGTGACTCTGCAAACTTTCATTTCTGGACCTTCATTTTAAAACCTGTGAAGATCTCATTGAGCAGGTCAACATCAGTGTAGGGGAAAGTTACTCTTGAAAATCATGCATTACGATATTGACTTAATCCCTCCAAAAATTACCTAAATGCACTGCTTAGTTACTTTTTATGGTAAGTAAACTGTATTATTGTACTGTAAAATGCATTACTTTTGCGTTACTTTTTCTTACCTTTGCTGAGGCTTAATCTTGTTCAAAACTTGAAGGGGGAGGGGTTCCGTTTTTTTATAAAGTTTCACGAACCCTCAAGTACTTTTTTTTTTTTTTTGGAGATTTCAACAGATTTGTGTGTGTTAAGCATTAAGGCAATGTCTGTACCTGTCAGCTTTAACTGTGGGGTACACTTGATAATTTTGAGCTTTTGTCAGCTAATTTCAGCTTCCGGGTTTAAAATGATTCTTGGGGCGGATTAAAATCGGCGACGTAGCGCAGTACTGCAAGTGCAATGATGACGCGTCGGTTTCTCATTATTATTCATAGCGGAGTTTTCTTATCCTATGAGAAGATCCGGCTTCTTAATTATTCATGATTATTCACTGCCAAGCTGAGACCCTAAAGTAAATAAAAAAATTAAAATAAAGAAAATTTTATATATATATATATATATATATATATATATATATATATATATATATATTAGGGTTGGGCATCTAAGCTATAATGCTGATCCGATACGCATCTCGATACAAAGAATACGATCCGATATATTAGTGATATATTTGTGACATATTGCGATGCAACATGATACGATTCACACCCATATCACGATACAATGCGATAATTCAGCACTAACTAATTAGATCAAGTTTATGAGATTATGTGAAAGAGGATGCTGTGCCATTGAATGAGTTTGATTATTTATAATATATATATATATATAATTTATTTTTTTTGATGACAATTGTTGCACGGCAAGGTTCATTGTATGAGTGTTTAGTGTATCATTTGGGATGCAATTGTGGCTCAGTACTGATGGAAATGAACAACATGTATTAACTTGGAGCAAATGTAATGTCTGTTACTGTTTTATCTCCATGATCACCACAGTTTATGCGTGTCATTGTCAGCTCTGCTTAGCAGCAAACCCCTTCCTGTGGTGTTTCCTTGATTGACTCAACAGAGAGCTGAAGGTGGAGATAGATAGATAGATAGATAGATAGATAGATAGATAGATAGATAGATAGATAGATAGATAGATAGATAGATAGATAGATAGATAGATAGATAGATAGATAGATAGATAGATAGATAGCACTTCACTTTTTCCTCATTTGTTTATCTTCCAGTTTTATTCCAAAATGGATTAAATTGATTGATTTCCTCAACATTCTACACACAATCCCCCATAATGACAATGTGGAGAAAGAGTTTTTGAAAATGTTTAAATTTATTATATATAAAAGCTGTTAAGTCACATATACATCAGTACTCACAGGCTTTGCTCAACACTTTGTTGATGCTCCTTTGGCAGTGATTACAGCCTCAAGTCTTTCTGAATATGATGCCACAATCTCTGCACAGCTGTCTTCGGGAATTTTTGCCCGTTCCTCTTTGCAGCACCTCTTAAGCTCTATCGGGTTGCATGGGAAGCGACGGTGTACAGCCATTTTCAGATCTCTCCAGAGATGTTCAATAGGATTTAGGTCAGGGCTCTGGCTGGGCCACTCAAAGACTTCACCAAGTTATTATGAAGCTACTCCATTGATATGTTGGCGGTGTGCTTTGGGTCATTGTCCTGCTGGAAGATGAAGCGTCGCCCCAGTCTGAGGTGGAGAGCACTCTTGTGCAGGTCTTCATTCAGGATGTCTCTGTACATCGCTGCATTCATCTTTCCCTCTATCCTGACTAGTCTTCCAGCTCCTCCTGCTGCTGAAACACATCCCCACAGCATGATGCCAACACCACCATGCTGCACTGTAGGGATGCTGTTAGCCTGCTGATGAGCGCCGCCTGCTGTTCTCCAAACGTAACGCCTGGAGTTCACTTCAAACAGTTCAGTTTGAGTCTCATCAGAGCAGAGAGTTTAGTTTCTGATGCTCTGAGATTTCTTCAGATGCCTTTTGGTAAACTCCAGGCGGGGAGTGTCTTCCGTCTGCCCGCTCTACCATACAGATGCCTGATTGGTGGATTGCTGACAGATGGTTGTCCTTCTGTAAGGTTCTCCTCTCTCCACAGAAGAACGCTGGAGCTCAGACAGAGTGATCATCGGGTTATTGATCACCTCCCTGACTAAGGCCCTTCTTCCCCGATCACTCAGCTTAGATGGCCGGGCAGCTCTAGGAAGAGTCCTGGTGGTTAAACATCTTCCACTTACAGATGATGGAGGCCGCTGTGTTTACTGAAACTTTCAGAGCAGCAGAAATGTTTCTGTAAGCTTCCCCAGCCTTGTGCCTCCAGACAATCCTGTGTCGGAGATCTACAGACAGTTCCTTTTTCTTCATGCTTGGTTTGTGCTTTGACATGCACTGTCAACCCTGGGCTCTTATATAGACAGCTGTAGCCTTTTCAGATTATGTCCATCAGCTGAATTGAGCACAGGTGAACTCCAATGAAGCTGCTGAAACATCTCCAGAATGACCAGTGGAAACAGAATGAACCTGAGCTCAATGTAGAGCGTCACACTGAAGGCTGTGAACACTGATGTACATGTCATTTATCAGCTTTTATTTTGAATAAATTTGCAACAATTTCAAAAACTCTTTTTCCACATTGTCATTATAGGGGATTGTGTGTAGAATGTTGAGGAAATGGTGTATAACAGTGTCATAATAAATACAAGATTACATGTTTAAAAATAATTTTAAATCGCTTTTATATCGCATATAGGCAACCATGTGCCTTGAGTAAAATGTGTTTCATTGCGCGTTTGACACAAGTGTGCCGCAAGCTTGCTTTTGAGTGAAGGTCTTGGCCGTTAGATCGCCCCCTGGGGGGCTGGCTGCAGTACAGATCATTAAGCCCGCCTCCTCCGTGTGAATGAAGGAGACTTGAGCCCATATTTAAAAATTACCTACACTTGCAATAAAATGTCTCGAAAGATGGTTCTGGTCAATTAAGATTATCAGCTGATCTAGGTGCAGATCTTTATTTTTCTAAACAGTTTGTTTTTAGCCAGTAATTTAATGCTATCCGCTTGTTAAGTGTGACGTCACGCGGAGCGGCTTTCGGGTCGAAGTGCTCTGTTCAACTGAATGGGGAGATTCATGAAATGGTAATAATAAACGTTTACAAAGCGATTTAATACTTTTGAAAGTCACGATCGCAGTATATATGTCCATGCCTAATATCCAACGGCCAGAAAGTGATTCATTGTTTTATAAATTGTTCAAATTTTGTTTTTTGTTCTGCAGCAAGCCCAGAGATTGTTGTGTACACTATAACTTTATATAAAATTAACTTTAATGTGCGATATTAATAAAAAGTGATCATGAACGAATGATTTCTCCACTCAAGTGAGTGATCCCGATCCCGAAAAGTGATCTTGGACCCGGAAACAGTATTACATACGTCACAAACACGTCATCATTTAACAAGCGGATAGACCTTTTTCTTGGCAGCTACATGTAGGGTGCCATAGGGACCAGCGTCTTCCGGTAGAATGGTTAGAACTTCCGTTTACAGTGTTTACAATAGGTAATTTGCGCTCTGAAAATGGGTTTCAATAGTGCTTTACGTGGATTACAGAGTGTTTTTGTCACACGCAACTTAGAAAGGTGTGTGTTAAAGCCGTTATAATCTATCTGATGTGGTTCAAGTCCGTCAGAAATACGAGAAATACGAGAAAAACGTTGTCCTAGTTCACGTGTCTGCTGTCAGAAATAAAATTCGTGTGTGTTTCCCCGGCCTGTCAGCTGTTAGCTCAGCAGCTCTTCAATACACACACATACACACACACACACAATACATTTTAGAAACCGAATCTTATATAGGCAAAGAAAAAAATACAAGCTTCTAAATTTATTGTACAAATTGATCAGGGTTATTTTATATAGTGCTGGAATGTGTAAATATGCTGTTGATATTTAGTAACATTGCTGTATCTTTTGCTAATATAAATGATTTTTTCCCACTTGGCAAATAGCTGTCCATGATGTATATTTTGGGTGATTGATAATTAAAATTAAAAGTCTTTCTATAAATGTACGTGTTGTTTATATGTTATTAATATTTTACAAGTGTTATTTCTACCCCTGTGAAGATAATAAATACTAACAACCCTGTTATAAGAGAATATTTTTTGTGCTGATATTAGTCTACCTCAGAGTGTATAAAAGAAGTTCAACAAGTATTGCTTTTATTAAAGTCTAACAGCTTACATCACATAGTTTTTAAGTCATATATTATTACTGTTTTTTTTAATGTAAGTGCCTATATTTATATTAGTGAGCCTTTGTTATAGTGCAGATACCGGCGTTCAAGTGAGCAGTTCGGGGGGCGTGGTTGATTTGATGTACAAGCCTTTGGTTGGAAGCTCGATTCTGTAGCTCCGCCTCTGGCTCCATCAGGCAGTCCTTTTGAGCGTTCCCAGGCTCCAGTTTCAGCAGTGTATTGCGACAGTTTGTGCCGTCATGAGGTGTTTTGCCTTCAAAGCGTTTAATAGGTAAAGGCGCTGTTCCATCGATCATATTTTTTAAAGTCATTGACATCAACCCATTGAAAAGCAACAGTGTATAACAGTGTCATAATAAATAAAAATATTGTTAAAAATCACTTTTTTGTCGCATGTGGGTAACCATGTGCTGTTTGTAAAAGGTGCTTGATTGTGCGTTGGACCTGATTGGACCCCGTTGGATATGATTCGAACTATAAAAACAGGTAAAAAGTTTTAACAAACTACAAAAATGGCTGATACCCGAGTCCAACTGTCAAGTTAAGATGCTAATAAAGATGTTTTAATTGACCCTTTTCACAATGACGTCACTTCACTCCCCCTATCGGCACCGCAGTGTATTTTTAGTTCAGGTTTAGCTTTGAATGAATGGGAGACTTCCTCTGAAAAATAAAAATATTAACATTGCACAATCTGATTTAAGACTATTACGATACTGGGCATGTGTTCAAACGTTTCTCTTTCAATACTGAACTGCTTTTTGAGTTAGAAAATGATTCTCTAAATTATTAAGAATAGAAATAAGCTATTG